AATCAGAATAAAACACCTAAATTATAGAAATAGAAATTAAAAAACCTAATTTATAGAAATAGAAATAAATAAAGATCAAATAGCAAATGAGCTCACAAACATTGGGAAAGATCAGACTGATATCAATGTAGTAAGTACAATTTAATAAGTTTACCTATAGAAATATAATCATTACATTCTAAAAACATATCCAATTTATAATAAAAGACATAAGATTTGTCGAATCAGTTTTGAAGCAGGACATATTTTAAGTTTATATTATGAGATTAATTGACTGACATTACAGTAAATACTGTTTATTTCCTTCATCGGAGACATTAATTTCTAGTGATTCTAGATTAATAATACAGGTTTACATACCCATTTTCCAATTTCCACTCCATATAGATAAGTTAGGGATACTGTTGGCCGTGCGATATAGTCTACAGAACGCCACCCTCAACCGAAATACAATGTAAAAATTTAAGCTTTATTCACTTCAATTTTTATTTCATATTGTTTCATTTTTTGACACAAACGAATTGATTTAAATAATTTCTGTACATAGGAATCAGTTGGAATTAGTGTTTCTGCATAATAAATCAATTTTGAAAAATGGCAACATTCCAATAATGCAATTTCGGCTACGAATTAAGATTCACAAGGGTAGCCATAAACCATAATTTGGACCTTGATTAATAAATGAAATTAATATAAATTGTGAGATCTACTTCATATAGATATAGGATTTCCTATTACGCAATAGCAGTGAGCGAATTCACACTGGTGCAACATGCACATTACGTGAAATACATGTTTATTCAGAAGAACATACCTATATCAATCTGAACTATGGAATATTAAATAGGTATATATCTCGTCTTTATTTATATTCCTGTTTCACAAACATTAGAGATGATTTATATATTAAATCCTACCTTACAATAAATCATTGTAATTACGGATCCTATAATTGTAATTTTTATCGAAATAGGTGTTATTTCGCGGAAATCCTTTTCAATACTGAATAGATATATATTATTTAGTTTAATTCCGCTACAATTAGCATGTGTTAGATGCAGTAAATATGCAGTGTAGTAACTTGACTACCGTTACATTCTTCTCTAATAGTGATCAAATTCTGATCGTTATTGAGTCTGCACCCATACGACACGGGTTTCGCCTCTGAACGAGGCATCGAATAAAGTTCGGATATAGCTTGGAGGCCTAGTGTTCGGCGACCAAACCGTCACGCATTCGCAATCTATTAATATTTATAACATTATTTGTATTAGAAAACATTAATAAAAGCAACTTGTTTTTATAATAACTATAAATATTTGCTTTACTTGGCAGCAAAATATAGTGCAAAAGAATACATTTTCTTTTTGCAAATGTCTGACAAGTTATCTGCCTTAATGATGTTAACCATCATCTATGTCCATGAACAGCACTACGTACATTACATTATCACTCGGGTTTTGGCATTCCTGACGACCAACATAGCATGCCTCTTAACCTGTAATTTGCCTTATAATTTCACTGTTTTTCAACAGAAAGACATCTTACAAATAAAACTGCTTGACAGCTGTAATAAATGAAATAGATTCACATAGACGACTTTAAAAAAACTGAAATTAATAATAGCCCTAAAATGTCATTAGTAAGTGACAGAGAGGTACCTACCTACACATCTTTATATAGAGCGTGACAATATGAAAAGTCGAATGAGAGTTGGGAGTCTGAATACGTAAGAGGAAAGACTGTGGGTGGGGGTCACCGTGGCCTGGATGCTGACGCTGAATGGAGATACCAAATCGATGGCAACGGCGCCTCACAGTCTGTCTCCCAACTGACGTCAGCCGGAGAAAGTACGCGCGATGGTAGAAAAGAAAATGGGAAAACAAACACACTTGTTACAGATCGCAGAAAGTGGTCATGCAAGTAATTGTATAGAACGATAACTAAATTCTCTACTTCTTTGTGTATCATAAAATGTTACTCGTTAGTTTTATTTAAAGATACTAATGTTAAAAAGAAGAAGGATTTGATTGTTTGTGTTTTCATTTGCATTACATATAGGCTTTGAAACTACTGTTAATTTAAAAAATATTTTGTTTTATATAATTACAATCTTTATTATTGGTATAAGGCGTAGATACTATATTATATTAATAAATACGCCATGGTATGGTGGGAACATGGTAGGAACTCCCCATTGCGAGCCTATTTGACTTTTACGTTAATATTTTTCGCACATGGTTTGAAGGTCAGAAATAAATCAACACATTTAGATAATTTAACGGTAGCATATGAAAACACAATGATGGAAAGCCCCAGAAACGTATTTAGCTAAACACGTTAAGTTACATAATCAATTTTATTAATTTTTAACAGAATCAGCTAAAATGATCAACACGTTTTCTTGCGTTATATGAAATAATCCTATTACAATCGTAATTCATTAGAGAAAAAAGATATCACGTTCAGTGTTTTTATTTTTTCAACTCCTATCGTCACGTACATAGGTGATCTAATATTTAATTAGTCTAACTATATGCGATAGATACATTACTCGTATCCTTTTTTTCAATACGAACACAATATAATTATCTTTATTTTTTAAAGTAACAAGTGTACTGATGGCCTTGTTGGTCTAGCAGTTTAGCTCACTACTTCCGATGGTTGCAAGTCAGATTCCTCGCACGGTGCAAACATTAGTATTCATGAGTAGGAGTAGGAGTAGTATGTTTAGTGTGTTTTTTATGTATATTATTATTATGCATGTATTTACAAAAAAATATCCAAGTATTAATAACAGTACATCTAGTACCATCACAAACTGTGCTTATTGTGCATGGGACTAGATGGCGCTGTGTTAATTAACAGGGGTATTTACTATATGGGGTTATTTAATTAAAAAAACCTCGCCTTTATTCTTTAAAATTAATAGAAATTTTATTACTAACAGCTTGTTCAGTCTCTATATTTGAAATAAAAAAAATAAGTACCAGAAGTATGGGGTTTTAACAATTTTTGTGTATGCCTATTTTATTTATTCCTATACTTTATTGTCTATGGCTGTACTAACTTCAATCGTATCAGAACAATATGTATTACCTTAAGGAATTTTTATTTACATAGATAGGTACATCTTGTATCCTACTAAAATCGTAAGTAGTGTACTTAGAAACATCTATAAATATATATTCTTTCTGTAATGTTTACATTGCTGCGTACTCGAATAAAATTACAAATGAATAGCGTTATGTTCGCTACTGAAATATAACCCGATAGAAGTATAGTATACAACTCGAAACTCGAAAATTGTATGCGGCATTCAAAAATGTAAAAGATAGCATTAGCTTTTAATTTTTTACTGGCGCCATCTATCGACGAATAGATAGTAATTATTCTGTAGTCCTATTTGTCGCTAGATGGCGCAAGTACAAATTTTAAAAGCAATGACTCCAAAAATTTTACAACAATGGTATTGGTGCTATAGCTTTGTAGCTGATGAAGGTAGTTAAATTAGTTAGAATAGATATTAATAAATATCAACCCTATCCGCAAGAAACAAACTAGAACTTTGAAAATATATTTTACTTTTCGTAATAAATTGGTTATCAATTTAGGATGAAATGTTAAAAATATATGTTGTGCAGTTTATATGAAGGTTTAAAAATAATCTACATAGATAGAAGACATTTGATAATTTTATCTTTCTGTAGTCTGTGTCTTTAGTAAAATTGTTCCTATTCATGAGTACCACTAGTTTTTCTACTTACTTACGTACTACGTACTTAAAGTTTAGTACTAAAGCTAGACTAAACCTGTATATTTTGAAATATTTTATAACGTCACTTTCACATCAGGTTCTTTTAGAGGTAGTCGTATATGGATATACGCTATAAAGAACTGATAATTGTCATCCTCTTTATTTTAATATTATCAAATAGAGTAGCTTCAGTTTTTTAAATAATTAATAAACTAATGGACCTAGGGCCTTTCATGATTTTTAACAAAGTTTGATATTTTACTTAAAATGCATCTATATTTACTGGCTAGCGCCGCCCCATTCGATATGCTTGCCGGGCCCGTACCCCCCTCTGCACAGCTACCGTAGCCCACACTTCGCCACTGTGTAATTAGAACAAAACTTCAAACTGTTATTTTTCAATGTACATACCCTCTTACAATGTACCTGTACGGCAAGAGTATTTGATAATGTACGGCAAGAGTATTTGATAATGTAATATACCTGAGGTATTTGTCAAAAATTAGGAATCATCTTTCCTGTACAACCTTTTATAAATTCATTAGTCGGACTAGATAAATAATTTGTTCTATTTAATAGCATAATACTTGAGGAGTGTTTTTGGCTATTCAATGTACATATCAACATTTAATAATCAGCAAAAATAAATAAAGTAGCCAAGAATACTTTACAAAAAGAAAACAGCACATGAGAATGATATAATGGATCAGCAACCGTTAGTTTTAAATTAGACAACTGATGAAACCGGGATGCATAACTAGTTAAATATAAGAGGATGGGTTCTTTGTATTCATCTATTTATAATTCGTGTATCTCCGATACATTACGATGTTGTATTGATTACTTACGGAAAGTGCTAGGCTATTAATTTTTTTGTTAGTGCAACACTAGCTATTTCCACAGTGTAAAAAATGTGTTCGTTTACAGGACTTGCTTTGTAAACGCTATAATTGATACTTTTGACAAAACTTCAATTCATTACGGATTAATTCCATTGAAAAATTACAATAATTTTTAAATATCCTTATAATAAAATTTATAATATTTTCTTAATGTACCAAAAAAGGTGTGTGTTTGAAGAAATTCATATACCTAACTAGCTTTATAAATGCTCCTACTCCTAGCCAATGCATCAACAAAACAAAATGCATTCCCCATTTCAACATGGCTTGTGCGTGTAGTTAAATGGCAGCCTAAAATTAAAATAATTATACGTATGGCAGCGTGGGGGGGTTTTAAGATAACAGTTTAATTATCTAAATCCAGTGTTCATTTAAAATAGATATAGTATTGTGTATGTTCTAATGTGTCTCGGTTGTGTCGTTTCGACTTGATTTTTATCGTTATTGGTAGGCGCAGGTGAGGTGATAAGCTTGTCAATAATCAAAATTTAAAGATGAATGAATGAGTTGTTACCGGATTTTTTAAAATCTCCAACAATGAAGAGATATTTGTTTCTTTGGTAAATATACAATTGATGGGAGCTGTTAATTCATGCCATTAGCAATCAGCATTTCTCTCCACCTATAGAAACATACTTCAAATTGTATAAGCTATGCTTGGTTCCTGAGCAGTAACTTGTACGCAGAATCGCAGATCAATACAAAACTAACCTCTGCATTTGCACTATAAAATTACGATTTGTTGCATAATATACATTTCATTACATTAACAATGCATGATTTGTATATTAAATTAAAAAGTGGTTTAATCTAACATTGATTATTTCTCCTGAGGCCCTATTTTTACCTACTTAAATACAATATATAACTTTACTTAATTTTATGTTAAGTTGATTAACATTTCCTTCTATATTATGCATTCTTAGCATTTTCATTAACATAATAACTTTTGGCAATGTCATAGAAAAGAACTAAACATAAATGTATGTTATGAATGTACCATGTACCTATAGCATACTAGAAAATCAATACATTGCAGTGGGTGTCAGTTGCCTGCACTTCATGTTATACTTTGTATGTATCTCTATATGAACTTTTGCACTCATATTATCAGTCATGTAGTTATCACTAATTTTGTTTAAACAGTTACAAAGAAGATCATTTAACCCTAGATATTAAAGAACTATAATTAGTTTGTGCACTGTGATAATATAATTGCAATGTTATAATGGACATTTCAATGTGAATATAAAGAATATAGTATTACATTTAGGGTGTGCTGGAAGAAAAAAAATATGCTACCCCTTATTTATACATATATATATATATGTACTTCTGGTTTGTATTACTGGTAATACATACTGATGCTCCATAGTTTAATCAATATTATGTTAATCAATATTTCTTCCTCTTTTGAATAATAATAGATACCAGTATGTTTCAATCTTTCTTATATACTGTAATATCCCCTACCATGCATGAGCTAATTAAATGTAATGATTTTTAAATATTATATGATTTACTTAACAGTAACTTTATAAAACATATATAACTATATATTATATATTGAATGAAAACTTGCAGTGAATATTTAATTGTATGCTTAATACAATTTGAAGTAATTCATATTCATTATTAGGGTGAAATACATGGTAAAAGCTATATCATTCATATTTATGTTGATTTGTGTACTTACTTAATAACACTGTCATATTCCGCATCAATGTGTGCAATTTCTTTACTGCCAGTATACAATCTAGAGATTGTAGTACATTTTGTATGACTTACATTCAACATTCATTATTTTAGATACATTTAAATACAATATTCATATAAGTAAGGTATGTAAAATGTGACAATGATTAAATATTGACATAAATTATGTTCCAATAATAGCCTTCATTTTTTGTCTTTAATAATAGATATGGATAATTCACACAGCACCACCTAGTTCCAAACTCAATAGAGCGTGTATTATGGGTACTAGACAACGGAGATATATATGTGGATACTTTTTTTTTGTTAATACATATATAATATACATAGAGAATACCTAGGCTGATACTACTCATGAATGTTAGTATTGAGTGAGGAATCGAACCCACAACCATAGGATGTGAAGCGGTATATTAAACCACAAGACCGAACAAGCTATCTTGTCTCTGGTGATAGAAACAGTAATATCAAATCATAACAATTATAAGGAATGGCAATTTGTTTGCTCTTGTATCCCTGGACATTTATTACAATATCAGTTGACAATGACTCTCACTATACCATCTAGGTAGACAGATACGGAAGTTATATTTTTTTTGGATCAATGTGAGAATGTTTTTATTTTCGTAAAAATATTTATTCTTAATTTCTAATGACATTACTCAATTTAGAACACAGCATGTTAAATAATGAGAGTTTTAATAGTGTATACAGTACTGGCAGTCTAGAATTGAACAGAATGCTTATGTGTTAAACCATCTTGATAATAATATCTACAGCTTTAACTCAATATTCATCAAAATTGTTAAAAGATATTTCCACTGGATTCCTTACTTGTTACTTTTCTTATTCCATCCTGTATGTTAATGTAGAGTCTATTATATGTGGTACCCCTTGCTTTCACTACTTGTGGACATAACGTTTTCAACAGTCATATCATTACTCATGCATATAATTGCTATAGCACACATATTCATTGCAAAATAATTATTTGGAAATAAAAAAATGAATATTGAGATATGAGTATTGAGATATTTTTAGGGTGTAAAGTAATAATGCTGAGTTCAATATGAAGGAAAAGGACATGATAGGAGGATGCTGTGTCTGCTCAGACGAGCGAGGTTGGCCTGACAATCCGCTCGTCTACTGCGATGGCAATGGTTGCACAGTTGCAGTGCACCAGGGTATGCAATTTTAATTTATTTGCTTTATTATTTTGTTTGCTTACAAACTTACTGTAAATTAAAAAAAAACATACAAATACATTGCCACTGATTTTGCTGTTTTGTTACAGCATGTTACGGAATTGTGACTGTACCAACTGGACCGTGGTATTGCAGGAAGTGTGAAAGTCCCGAAACCAAAGGAAAAGTGGTAAGTTTTACACTAGGTATAGATAGTATATAGATCAATAAACACAAATCCTCGAAACGGTGAAGTCGTTCCGTGAAGCCTGTGACGACACCAGGATACTTCTGCACTTCTGTGAGGATTTTGTCTGGCTACTTTAGTAGTCTCGCCTCTACACACACATAGATTCCACAATACAATACAATAGTATATAGATATGTGAAATTACAGGGTATAAAGCATATAGCAGCTTAGTCCTCAAACCTGGCAGCACATGAGAGGTAACAGGGTCTCACATGATGACGTGATGTTTGTTGCGCTCTTGCCGACTATATGCGACGGTTACCACTTACATCCCAGTCAGTTGTCATCTTGTACACCATTTATATATACCATATATGGTATGTTATAAAAAATATGCTAGATGTTTACGGTACCTGCCGTGTTCCTATGTACAAAATATATTTAGCCATTTTGATTTGATAGCTTTATAATTAACTCTTTGTAGATATTATGTATGCCTAATCATTCAAGAAGTCTTTTAAATTGTTTTTCTTGTTTGTTTTCTGATAAATTTATATTTTTACTGACTAACTGAAAACTACTAAAAAAATTTATTATTTCGATAAATTAGATTCTTAATAAAGAAACACTAATTTTAACAAAAAACTGAAAAACGGTACCTAATCGGTAATAACAAACCACATTCCAAAAACGTCATATTTGAGATAATATTATATATGACGATGTATTTATAAAAACCTAAGAAGGCGGGTAGCAAAGTGCTTCTGCTCGTAACAATTGTCAACAACTACCGTCATTTTCTAAGCTGCTCTTGTTTATTATCATCAATTTCTTAATATACAGTTAATAATATAATATGCAGAATGTTGTAACCTTTAGTCTTTTTTGTGTATTTTTTATTACGAAATGTAATAGAAAACTGGGTATTAGAGTCTCTATTGCAGCATTTGTATAGTCAACATCTTTGTTCATTATAGATCTAAATATGTAGTTTTTAAAAAACTTATTTAGGTATGAAGTTATAGGAAAATGTAACTTTACAGCGATGCGAACTTTGCCCTGCGAAATCCGGAGCGTTGAAACGTACGGATACAGGCGGGTGGGCCCACGTTGTTTGCGCACTGTACATACCAGAAGTGAGATTTGGCAATGTCACGTCTATGGAGCCAATAGTACTCAGGCTGATACCACCAGAAAGATACAATAAGGTAAGGGTTCTCTCTATTTTACTCTTTATCAAAGGGTTTATTATTTATGTGCCAATACAGAGATATAACAATATGGATTTAGTAGAATATACATTGCATGGAAGAATCCATCTTCAGCAACCTTCATGTATAGTTTCAGCCTACAATATTACGCCACTTACCAAAAGTAATGAAATATACATAGCACTTCTATATCGGAATTAAATTATATGTTGTCACGGACGCAACATGTTTCTTGATCATATACCTTGTTAAATATTTATAATAGGCTAACTTTAAGAGCTATGTAATGAGTGCAAACATTTCTTACAATACTCAATCATGGGACTTATATAGCCATCACCAAATGTTTAATTTAATGAAATTGAGTTCTTAGTTCTAAATTGGCTGATATCAAAAATTATGTCGATTTAAGTTTCTGACTTACTCGCTGTTGATGGAAACACTAATAACATATCAGAGTGGCGCCTGTACGCGCCAGCCGACACGTTGGTTTCAAATATACCCAATGAAATATGGATAATTAAATTGTTGTGTTCATTATAACATCAAGGGTTGTCATTGAAAGTTTACGCCTTTGAAAGGCGTAACGGTATATATTTGAAAACTTATTTATTGAGAACAATTCGACTATGAGTATAAGATTATTTACATATTACAAGCTGACCCCGCAAACGTTATTTTGCCATATAAATTAAAATCGCTGTTAAAAAATAGCGGTTGCTGATAGAATGGTGAAAATAAATGGTTAAAAAAATTCCCAAAAATAAAAAAAAAAGTAAGGAGTGGACAACCCTTATCACTTAGGGGTATGAAAAATAGAAAGTAGCCGATTCTCAGACATACTATATATGCATAAAATTTCATAAAAATCGGTTCAACAGTTTCGGTTGAGTATGGTACCTAACATTGTCACGAGAGTTTTATATAAGATGTGTTGGGATATTTGACGTGATTTACGTGAAATGATATAGATATATCATGATATATCATCATGAGCAGATGCTCATAATAACTTTTTAAAAGTCATAGATTATATGATGACGATGATGATCATGATGCTTGTCAAAGAGTGGAAATAATCAGAAATTATATAAAGGATTATCATTAATGAAATAAAGAGAATTAATAATATTATATGAATATAATAGCAAGCCCTGTAGAATCAGCCAAGAGGAATCTTATGCATTAGTTTTCGTATTGTTCATGTCTTTGTATGACGATTGCCATTGTCAAAATTGAGCATTGTATCATACTTATGCTCTATATAGATCTTCTATGGCTCAACAATATAGGTTCTTTCAGACGTGTTACATTTGTCAAGAATCCGGCAAGTCGCATCGAGCCACAGCCGGTGCTTGCATGCAGTGCAACAAATCAGGTTTGTAAAACTCCTATACAATACATAAGTAAATAAAATCGTTATTTTTTTTATTTTTCACTAAGTTAATCATACTTATTCTCGGATAAAATTTTCTTATTATATCTATGTATCGATGGGTGCCATATACATACGCTTCAGGAGAGCGTATATTTTTAATTATTGTAAAAAAAAAATATTTATTGTGAGTCATAACCTCACCCTTCATTTATTTTTTTCTATTTTTATATATGTTAAAAATTATTTTATTTTGTTTTGTATTTCACGAGATTTTAGGTCTCCGGATTTTACATTAACGATTAAAATATGCCATGACTACCAGTTGTCGTTTCACACTCCTTAGTTTGAAAAATAAACAAATTATGAATAGTTCAATATATTTTATTAAATATTTAAATGCTATTTTTTTGTGATAATATGAATATTATTATATTTTATTGAGGAATTGCCTTTTTCTATATCATTTTAAAGAAAAATAATGTAATTTTTTTCGGTAGTTATAAAAAAATAGGTAATAACTATATTTATGTAAAAAACAGCTCTTCAAGATCTCTATTGTTTTTTTTTTAATTAAATATATAACCTTATTAAGTAAATTAACAAATCTAATGTTAATTCTCTTAGTAGCAATATTATAAAAATACCCATCATTCTTTTAAGTGGTAGCGGGTACATTCCGCTCTATACAAATATTTGTATTCATGACTGTGATTGTAATGATCTAATATAGTATACTATATATAGTAGTATGCATACTATATATGTAATCTATACATCTATATATATAAATAAAATTGGAGTGTCTGTTTGTAATATTGAAATAACCGTTTATTGCTACATGCATATAAATATAAATACAGTACATATATCAAAATATCATTTTTTACAATTTTTGTCTGTCTGTCTGTCGGTCTGTTTATTCCAGCTAATCTCTGAAATGGCTGGACCGATTTTGACGGGACTTTTATTGGCAGATAGCTGATGGAGTATGAGTAAGGAGGATGGAGTATGACTATATGAATAAGGAGTAACTTAGCTACTTTTATTTTAATAAAATAAAGTTAAATTCCACGCGGACGACATCGCGAGTGCATCTAGTAACAAATAAAAAGTATTTTAGTATTTCTATCAATCGTTTAGAACCTATATAAGGTTATAAGATTGGGACTAGGTGACGCTGTGTGTAATGTTCTGGGTTAATATTATTTCTGTTTTTCCTCGTGTAGGGTGTAGATTGTATGCCCACGTAACTTGCGCTCAGCGCCTCGGATTGCTCTGCGAAGAGGCTGGCAACTACTTGGACAACGTCAAGTACTGCGGCTACTGTCAACACCATTACAGCAAGCTGGTCAGTATTAGTACCTACTTAATATGCAGAAATTAAATAAAGTGTTTTGAAAGTTGTATTATTATGTTTATGAGCTTTGAACGTTGACGGTTAATAGAATCGGGTTATATCTGGTAATTGAATTATTTTATTCATTGCATTAATTTTATAGTAACTGTAGTATAAAATTTATATTCTGGACTTATATTAAATAGTATTAGTACTAATATGCAGAATTTGTGAAAATGATTTTTTGAAAGTTAGTATGTATGAACGTGGACCGTTAATAGAATCGGGTTATACCTCCTAATTGAATTAATTTATTCAGTGAAATTTTATAGCATACGTGGTAAAATTTATATTTCGAACTTATATGAAATAGTATTAATACTTATTATATAGAAATTGCATTTTTTTTTTAAAGTTATTGAATAAGAATGTGGACCGTTAATAGAATCGGGTTATACCTGCTAATTACATTATTTTATTCAGTGACATAAATTTTATAGAATACGTGGTATAAAATTTATATTCTGAATTCAAAACGTAATATGAAATACTACATAATTACATAAAATCTCGTTTAAAATGAGTTAGACTAGTCTTTTGACAGATCTCGGTACGAACTCGACGTTTTGAATTGATTGTACCTTTGACTTATCATACGTATAATGAACCTACACGAATGAAGATGAAAAAGATAAAAAGGAACAAGACGAACGAAACGTGTGCGTTGAGTGAAAAATAAGATGATGCAAGAAAGTGTATATAAAAATGAATTGAAGGGAAAACATATTACGCCGATGTTACATAATTTAGCATAAAGATGACACTGGAATAATTATTTGGCACAAAGTAGAACATATACATACATGCTATAGATAAAAAAGACAAAGAAAAAAAAAGAAATAGGTTCATAAATTATTTAAGTATCACACATTATTTTGACAATGTTTAAATAGCACGATTCTTCAAAATTTCGCAATCTTAACATGAAATTCGAAACATTAGGCGAAGCAAAACGTGCCATATTTTTTGCTAAATTGTATTAAAATAAATACACAGTATCAAAGAAATTCGATAATTATGCCTAAATATTTAATGATAATAATAATTGTGACTACGGTTTTTGAATATGTTATATGAGAACGAATGATGCAATATGGTTTATTATTTATAATTGAAGAGGTTTAATCGATTTCGTACTACTTTCTATTCTGTTTTCCTTTTTTAACTATTAGATTAATTTGAAATAGAAATAATATTTATTGAAATAAACTCCATACAAGTACTTTTGAATCGTCATAATTTTTATTCTATCACTCATTCGGAACGCAGATTCATCACAAGAATGAGCAATACTTGTGTTAAAGAAAAACTTATTTCATACTTATGCAAAATTTACATTTGGTCCTTTTAAAAAAAATACCGGATTTTTACTCATGCGTGATTTTACTCAACCATACTATCATGAGCATGAACCTGTGATGTTTAGATTACGTTCGCTACATGTTCGCTATACGCAAACTGTACTACAGGATAGTTTTGAAATGCATTTAAATACTGTAATTTTACAATTCTGTACACATGTTAGAATATCTCAAATTGTATGTCTTCAGTTTATACAAATTATAGACTAAGTATATTAGTTTTAGCAAGTTGTTTAATTTTCCTTACTATCTATAGAAAATAATTGAAGTTGTAATTGGACTTCAAGTTCTCAGTTTCCTTGCAAGTTATAGTAAAATAATTCATTAGTTTGCAAAAGTGTCGACTAGCAGTTTTAGTTTGATTATAGGTAGACCGTTAATTGCTTTATTCACGGCCTCAAATTAATGTTCTGCACTGTAGGTATAACACATAATCTGGGATATGTACTAAACAGATTTTTTGATTTATAATTTATATCTCCCTTTGTACATACATACCTTATCAATTAATAAAGGGTATCCTGAATATGGATGTACTGTGTGAAAGATGATATTCATAAAAGGAGGGAAATTCAGGTATTACGACCGATAGGGATCAATGGGAAATGATGACATACTGCGCTGAACCCGAAGAATGGGATAAAGTCAAGACAATGATGATAACAGTTAACAAAATCATAGGCATGGATATTCTGTTATTTGCTTATTATTTTTATGCCACGTACTTCGTGCAAAATGTCCCTGGGTACCAGGGTACCTGGGTCTCACCTGTTCCAGCCGCCAAGCAACATGCTTTGCGACATGTATTTCACTTGAATTATGAGATATGGTAGTAAAATTACAGGATACGAAAACATGATATCTTAGTACTCATTCGTGATGAATACCATACTTATAGTAACGTGATGGTTCCGTTATAGCATATATATTACAATTAACAGACCTGACTACGCTTTGCTGTGTCACAGTAGTTCTAATACGTCGTTTGAGAAACATTGAAATCATTAAAACCTATATCTTTTAAGGCGCCAGATTACATACCAGTGAGCCAAATTTCATAAAAATTGATTAAGTAGGTCCAAAGTTTATGACCTCGAACAAATATCATGACGCGAGATTTTCATATAAAAATATGGGTTTTATTTCATAGAAAAAAGGCGGTAACGTAAAGACTATCCCGCCTTACAAGCCCGTGTCGCACGACAGTCAATCCAGCGACTCGAGTTGCGAGAAAGAAGGCGAAGCCTCACCCATGGCTGGTGGCAGTGGAACTCCAACACACACTACTAAATCTAAAGGAGTACGTAGTAATTCTTTTATTTTTTTTCTGGTATTATCAAAATTCGTCATCTACTTTTTTAAGGTAAGAAGATTTCCGTCTCATGAATGAATTTGTCAAATTTCATTAAATTCCTTTAGTCGTATAATCGTAATCGTGAAAAGGTAACATACAGACAGACAGATAAATTTCGACGTTTACAATATAAAAGATTGTATAAATTAAGTAAAAATATTTTAGCGTATAATAATCGCATTTATATTAGTACGCAATAGATAGAAAAAACTAAAAAAATGTATGTTTTCACAAATAGTGTATTAAGTTTAAATTTAGTACAAGCCATTATTTCAAAACAGGTAAATACTTGTCTAGCTAGCCATTTGCCTTGACTGTTTAGGGATGTTTAGAAAATTACAATAAGAAAATATTGCTTGTAAATGTGTGTCAATTTATCGTAGCAACGTCAGTAACACAAAAAGAGGAGCATAATTTAATCTATATCAACTTAAATAGATGACATAATGTATTCAATGGTTTTCAGACTTTTATGATATTACAGTAGGTTTACAGATAGTTTCACAAATAATTGTATAGTTTTATTACGTTTCTGTATTTTGGCCTTTTTATTCGTCCGTTTACTTTTGTTCAGAGTTACAGGATTATCTACAAGGTTAGTCGTGGTAATATTAGCCTGAGTTTAACAACAATATGCAGATTTTGCCAAGCTGAAGAGTAAACGCCACTGCACGTCCTATATGGTTGTAGTACACTCATGCATAAACGAAATATCTTCTTTGGAAAGTATACACTCTCTCCTGAGGAGATGAACCGTCACTCCTAGGAATATCCTACAATTCTTGTTCCTTCATACAACTTGGAAAAAGGGCGAGCACATCAGATCTATGCAGGTCGCAGTACTACAGGTCTTAGCACCGGACCTAAGGGCCTAAAATCCTTAATAAAAAAAAAGATACCCATTATTATATTATTACATTAGTTAACAATTAGGAAGAATCTGAACAACTTTCTTTTAGCAACAAAGTGGAAATGTAAAGATAATATTTCGAATACTATAGCTAATATTCGCCTTGGTATACAATTAACCTGAAGATTTGATGGTGATGATAGTATGGCTATGAATAGAAGTATAATATGGCTAGAGTAGCGTATATAATGGTAATATTAGTACCTGTTAAGTCGACGCGATTAACCCTAATGAAATAATTATTCCTGCTGAATGTGCCGCGTTGGAATATTGATCAAACCCATCATCCCAGCATTTTCCACTGATGTGCCAGTACCACTTCGAAAAAACAGATTATGATGCATATATTTTAATTCCTTAAAAAACATGGTCTATGTTATAGTGAATGTTAATATTTACAGCATTATATAATTTTGCAGCCCGGCCGGAAGTCATCTCACAATTCCAATGCAGCATCTGGAAAAAATACACCAGGATCATCCAAGACTCCGACCAACACGAGTCAACCTATGGGTAAGTACATAGCTTACTATCAATGTAATAAAATAATGTTACTAATAATAGCTGAGATTTGCGAAGAACACATGTTATATGTGTTTTATATACATATACATGTATATGTTTTATATATATAGAATTACTTGCTAACCCTGAAAATATTGTTTTGCCATATTAATCAAAATTGTTACGTAGGGCTATGAAAAATAGATAGTAGTCGGTTATCAGATCTACTATAATATATATAAAATTTTTATTAAATTTTATATTACTAATATATATAAAATTTCATAAAAATCTGAATTTCGGAGGAGTATGGTAACTAACACTGACACGAGAATTTTGTATTTAAGACAAATGCATTTACATAAAACATATTACTTTAAACTTTTTATTGTTGTTCACAATATAACAGTAGGTTATCTACAGGGATCATTTTGATAATATTTAGTTAAGGATACCGTTTCATATTATGTAAATTTAATTGGATATTTTTTAAAGAGTGTGACTCATTGAGCAGATATTCTAAACAGAGTAGTAGTATTAAAAATTTAATATATACTAGTAGTTATAGTTTTCAAATCTATGTATGTTTTACAGAGTTTTATTTTTTTTTAATCTAAAGCCTTTTTATGATATTTTTCGGCTTATTGATAATTGAGGAAGTTCCCATTTTGATTGCAAGTTTAAGTTTTTTACCTTTAAACTTTTATAAATCGATTCTGAAAATCCTGTTTTTATTTTAATGGATATGCTTGCAAATTGGTTCTACAGAAATTTCATCAGATCATATCGGTTCAATTGTTTCGTTTTTAAATGAAAATAACTAGAAAACCCATTACTTAATAGTGTTTACGATCACTAAATAAACATGCAGTTCGATTTTCTGACTTTATAGTTTTATAGTTTAATAATGATGATGAAACCGTATAAAACAGAGACGAGTAACACGTGGCCTGCAACGGCGGTGTCTTGTTCAAACATGCGATGCAAACAATGCATTAAAAATAGTATAGGAATTCTTGACTTTTTAAATTTTTATTTTGTTTTATTCTAATGTATATTATAAATAAAGTATTGAACATAATTTATAGGTACTTTATGTACGGCCAAAATACTTTGAAGTTTTAATTGCCCCGTTGATTAAAAAGGTTGCGCACCCCTGGTATAACAATGTAAACTACTCGTGTTATCGATTGAATTTAGTTTATTTCTGTGGTACCAATTTACAGCACTATCTGATCAGGTTAATTTAAGGTCATAACTGCAATATGACTTTACTACATTGTAGTTATCTAAAAGTAAGTGCAAGTGTACTCTAGCTGAATCATTTACAACAGATAATTATATATTTCAATGTAAATAATGCTTTTTGATTCGTAACAATGTTATCACCATTTAATGTACATAGCATAACATCTAAATTCACTCATGTATCATAGGTTTTACCCGCCTACATAGGTTTATAAATGTAAATAGTTTTTAGCTCTTGTTTAAATATTAACTTATAATTAGTACCGCAATCATGTAACTTTATTTCAAATAAATTTAATCACCTGATTGCATTGATGCCCTAAGAAGTACACGTAAAGCATCCGAATGACGCGTTACAATAATTTATTTAAATTTTATAGAATAGAATATGAATAAAAGTCTTAAAAACGAATATTGGGTGGTAAACTGAAAGGGCATCTACTTTTTATACATAATATAGTAATTAAAACTAATTTGAAATAAAGTTCATAGATACAATCACCACAGATTATGTCTTGTCTGCATAACTAACGGCATTTTTATACATAAACCTCGCTGCAGAGATCAATCAGGACAATGCCGAGGTGCCCACAGTTGGACGGAAACACAAAGCGTCTGAAAAAAGTGTGTTCCGATTGCTTATTTTAAATGTTGCATGACAAGCATGTATTGTGTGATCGTTACCACACTGTGTTTTGAATTTAGTATGGTGATCGACTTGTAGTTGGTGGGAATAGAAATTACTTAGTAATCATCAAATGTATTGGTTTTTGTTTATTACGTACTCCATCTACCCTTTTCTTATTTTTATTTCTCTATCCACCCAAAGATAGTCTGGAAGAGATTGCTTAGCGATAAGAGCAGCTTTTGTATTAGTTAATAGTATATAATAGTATATTTTGTTTTTTTTTGTTCTGTAACTGGTGCAATAAAAAGTATAAATAAAAATAAAAAATAAATAGGGGATTAAGAACTTCACATTATCATAAAATTTGTTTTCTATATCCCGGTGGTGACAGTCATAATACTACGCACCTGTGATCCTCAAACTTGGTCATTAGCGGACCGTGCTTATAGAATAGACCAATTACCTACTTCTGAGAAGTGTTTTGTATTTAATTTATTTTATAAATATTACTTACTTTACAACTAAGTGGGTTATAGAAAATAAATCTTATTATGTTTTACTTGATGTTCATTTCTATTTAATATATAATTTCGTTTTACTTTAGCTAGCTTTTAGATATTTATGTTGTACTCAAAGGAAATTAAGTAGGTGTTCTTCTAAGAAAACAAATAATGATATTAATATGTCTTTGGAATAATTTTCTGTGTTATTGAATAACTAATCTAGACATACGTAATTGGCTAGATTTTATAAGCAGATGGTACAGGAAATGTATTGATGAATATGCAGGAAGCAGAAGAAATCCGATTTAATAGACTCAACAGACCAATTAGTATCTTTAAGGATAACGGCTTCTGTCTTATAATACATACATAATATGTATAATCACATTATATGTCATGTTCTATTTGATTTGTAATCAATAGAGAATTATACGTTCTTGCATGTACATAATTGTTAGTATTAGACGTGTATGTGGTAGAAGTAGTTTAAACATACTTTAGATATTTACCGCGTCCATGTCCGTGTGAAACACTATCTTCAGAAGAATTTGTTTACGTCTGTAAATTTTTGGGTATGCTAGTACAAATTTTTATTCTTTAATGGTGTAAAGGGAATGACAAGAAATTTGATGGACGATCTAATGGTAAGTGGCAAACATAGCCTACAATACAAACATCACATTATTATTTTATAATGTCTATGGCGACTCCACCATCGCCATTCTTGAGGACTAAGTTGCCAAACTTCCGCAACCTCTAAGGACCATCCATAGACATAATGTATGGATTTCTCCCTGGTTTCACTGCCTAATATTAACCGTTAAACCAAAACACAGTTTACAAAGCAAGCCTGGTGGCAGAAATAGGTGAAACAGAAGGAGTAACACTGATAAAATTGTAAATACTCAAAATTGCGAAATTTAATAATAGAAATTCATTTTATAAACATTTAGTTCTCTATGTTTTGGGTTATTTATTTTTTATTTTATTTGGTAATCCGCAGTTTATTAAAATTATAAACATTACTTAGCATTACATAATTAGTAAAACCAATAACAGATACCTAGTGATTTTGAGTCATTAGGCTCTATTTGCAGAATTTCACCATTTGTACCAATTTGTTATGCCCCATACTATTAAATGTCACTCATAATAAAGGAAAGCAGGATATTAAAACATTTTAATTTTTGGTTAAACTCAACACGATAAACCTCTCAACATATTATGTATACAATAATTATTTCATAACAATTTATAGGTTTAATATTTTATTCATAAGTACTTGAAACGTATAGCTATTATTTTGAGCAATTCAAAATATAAATAAAACTGTATATAAATGTTATTATGCCATATAAATAATATCGCTGTTAAAAATAAGAGTAATATAAATAAAGGTATAAGGGTGTAATTTTGGATTGTAAGTATTTTTAATGCCCAATTATAAAATAATAAAATATTTTTTTACTTCGGGTAGGAACGTTATTATTACTTAGCCGTATAAATAGTAGGTCCGATATATTATCAGATCTACCGGGTATACTATAAATTTCATCAAAATCGATTTAGTAGTTTAGGATTCCATCCAAGACAAACAATGTGACACGAATATTTTATATGTTAATATTATTATCGTGATTTATTCCTAATTTGAAAGTTTTAGATCGAAACAAATTTTTAGAATAGAGCTTTTTTTATAACATAGGGAACAAACGACCCTGCGTCTCATCTGATGGTAAGTGAATATCACAAAAAATAGCTATAGTACTTTTAATTGACTTCAAAAAGGGTGAGGTTATATTTTTTATCTACAAAAAATTATCTTCATTGTAAGTAGATTGAGTCTTTGAGCAATAACTTCACGACTGTTATAGAAGGATTAGTAGACAGAGTCATTATCGACTGTCGACGAGAGTAGTAAGAGGTATCTAACACGCATCGAATTTATTTTATTTACGTACGGTGGCTACTTACGTAAATAGCATAGGGCGGTACGGTCAGCAGTGGCGTGTAGTCGGCGAGCCATGTCTTTAACTGCTCCGTCACGTGTTCCACCCGCATCCCTTCCCGGTTTTATGTCTACTCAATTGGAACGGGTAATATGATAAAAATTTAAACTGTTTAGTGTACGCTGTTCCCTCGTTGACAGCGGTGTTGTTCATTTGTGAGTTGTAAATAAGGTTCAGTTTATACCGAGGTATACGTAGTGTATGTATACTTCATATTCAATATGGGATTGGGTACCTTAGAATCATATTAAATATTGAAAATGAGAAATAAGCTCACCAGATTGCCCTTAGTTATGAAAACGTTAAAAAACATTGATTATAAAAGTGCCTTAATGATTTTAAAATATGATGAACTAGCTGTACTCGCGACTTCGCACGCGTGGAATAGTGACTTTGAATAGCATTTTTAATTATTTAATATCAAGCTGAAGAATAAGTGTGAAGCTTCTAGCTTTAAAAATTACTACACTTCAATAATCTTTCGTTTCCTCTTTCAAGCCAAAAAGTAGCTTATATGTTTGCGCATTAAAAATTAGGCTATGTCCTTTCTCAGGGTCTAGGCTATCTTTTTTCCAAGTTTCATTGAAGTCGTTTCAGTAGTTGTGGCATGAAAGCGCCACAGACGGACAGACAGGGTTACTTTCGCATTTATAATATAAAGTAAGAATTAGGAAATACAATTATCAAGCTATGGGTAATATGGGGATATTTTTACAAAAATACTCTAAATTCCAGTGACAGTGTATATAGAAAACTGAACACGTTGTCGTTTATGAACCAGCAAGTGAATTTGTTCAATTTGCATGACCGGCCTATTCGCGATATTTTTTTTATTGATGGGATTGGGTTATTTATTGCAAGGTGTTCAGGCATGTAACACTGCGACTTACGGAAATCTATTGTGCCTCAAAACTATCTACGAAAAATTAAATCTTATCATTAAATAAAGAAAATAGTCATAATAAGTATTGTTAAATTTTCCTATTTCCTGCAAATAGATTTGTATAAACTTATATATATGTTACATACATATACCTGGTAATATTTATGGGTTTATTTTTTATTTATTATTTTAGGCCATTGTACTCAAAAGTGCTTATATATTATATTTATTTGATTGAATTTTTTTATGTTTTGCTCACAAAAGGAGCGTGATTTTAGCGTGATTAAGCATTTCTACTGCTTATGTTATAGAAAAAGACAAGACAGCATTTTAAAGTAAATAATATATAGTACTTGTTATTGTTTATCATCAAAATATTAACTGAAAAAAATTCACAATCACGCAAAAATATAATAATAAATATATCATATATTAATTATTCTATTTTTGCGTGATTGTAAAATTTTTTATTATAATTTTTTCATCTTATTGTCCAATATAGGAACTGCCTTCTGTCTTTTTCGTGTTAGAACTAAATTTTGATTTGAGCACTTCGGCATGTTTGCAATATTTCACTGGCTACTTAGTAGTACATCAGTTATTGTATGCACTTCTTAAAGTGTTGTTGTATATCAGTGATATTAATATGGGACATTTCATCAATAAATCAGACAAAAAGAAGCCCTCGCCGTCGCGACGCGGGTCGTCAGCTGGCGACGCGGGTGGATCCGGCAGCAAGAATACAACTCCTGCACCGTCGCCGCAGCACCCAGCAGCTGAGCATGCTCAAGCACCAAGCGGCAAAAGTAAATTTCTACATCTATTAAAATTAAACTGTACATCAATTTCTATCTAACCAAAAAATGAATCAAATCTAATAATTAATCATTTAATCATGTAGGACGTTTTAGCCGCTTATGAACGTCAAGTTTTTTGTGTTAATATTTTTTTCTACCGTCCAGTTCAATATATATATTCACTCGATAAGAACTGCCGAGAAACTCAACTGAATTTCTCTTTTTTAAGCCAGTTTATTTAGATTATGTATCTATGTCTAACATTAAATTGTCATGCTCTTTTGTCACTTAAGTAATTGATTTAACTGATGTTTTATATTTATTTAAAGATGATTCCAATATATCCTTTGGTATCTTATTGTAATTTTTTATACCTATTCCCATACAAGAACAATCGACTTTTTAAGCAAAACTTAGGAACATAGCAAGTTAGTTTGTTTTATTTTAATACACAATCTTATAACGCAATCAAGAGTACCAAACTATCAATATTTTTATTGGTATTTTTAATTTAAATAGAATGACTCGTGAATAAATAATCCATGTATTGGTTTCTGTTAACCCTGAAGAAAATATACATAAGCTTTTATAAAAGCACGGTGAAGGTTTCCAAGCAGCGAGACTTTTTAACTCTTGGTCCAATAGTTTAAATTGGAATAAATACACAATAGAAACTTTTTAAAGGCAGGTTGCGTTCTTTTCTGTTAGAATAGTCTTCTTATAGAGTTGATGAATTTATAAGCAGCAAAAAGTTTATACTTTCAACACACATGTAAAAATATACCAGATATTTTTATACTTGAAACTTATTGTTTAATCTGCGGAATGATAAAGATTCTGCCGAAAGCCTTTAAGTATTTGACATAATCGTGTTTCTAACAAATTTATTTACAGGTTCAGGAGGTACAACTCCGGGGGCAGCTTCGAAGGTAGCACCACCATCTGCTTCGCCAAGTTCCATCAAGGCCCCCGAAGCGGTCGGAGTCATAAGCTCAGTTGCTTCAGCCACCGCAGCCTCCGTGTCCACTGTCACGGCTACTGTGCCAAGGTTGTACTTTAAGTCTTAACCTTATTAATATGATAAACGCGAAACTTTCTAAGTATAGATGTTTGTTACTCTTTCACGCAAAAACTACTAAACGGATTTTTATGAAACTTTACAGTAATATAGCTTATGCATCAGAATAACAATTGGGAGAAATATGTATAATGATAAATGTCATGTAAGTGTACTGCAGACGAAGTTGCGTGAATCAGCTAGTGTAAATATAAGAAAGTACGCTCGGGGCCGTAATCCCAAATGAGGTACTCAAATATATTAATACTCAGCTGCTGTTGTTAAGAACGTAACATGGGTATACTTCGCCGATATTTTGGCATATTACTATCATATATCAAACGGTTCAATTCTGTTTATTATATATTTTTCATTGCTGGAATGTTACTTGGAAATGGGTATGGGTGAGTGTACGCTCAAACTTTTGTAAATCAACAAAGAATTTCACCATCCATTGAAAGTGGTAACCACGGCACAATTAACGATTTATAAATAAACGTATTGGCTTCTCCAAGTTACTTTTCTTTTTATGTAATTGAAATCATAAACTGACGGGCCACCTGATAGTAAGCTGTAACCTATGTACATGTATGTAATGCCGCTCATGCGCTGCCATTCTTGAGGACTAAAATATCATGCCACTATATCGCTCTACAACCGAAATACTGCTAACGCCACTTGTATAGATAAAGTTTTCTGTAACTGTAAAGTAAAGGTGAAAATGAATTTCTACTTTCTTGGCTCTGATCATTATGGATTTAAAATTATAATTGAAAATAAGGGATCTAATGGGACTCAAAATATGTCATAAATAAATTATTTTTGAAACTTGTGTTCAAAATTCAAAAATCAATTATTTAAACAATTTAAATATACAAGGCTGATTTAGGTGAGACTAACATCGCATACGTATGCATACTTTTTACAGACTCTCTCCGAATTTAATTTATAAATCAATTTATTTATTAAACAGCACTTCAGTGACCACATCTGTGGTACAAGTACCAACAACGAAATCGGCCAGTTATCAAGAGACTGTGATCACAAACACAGAGTCTATGGAAACCAAGCAAACAAAGAAACGTAAAGCCGTTTCTGCCGCAAACAACCCTGCGCCTGTCGATTATACAGCACCACAGCCAGTACAGGTATCCTTACTAATTTATATGATGATTTGGTGAACTGAAAAAGAAAGAAAGAAAAATATTTATTATTTATATAACTCAACTAAACATTAAGATACATATGTATGTGTGCACATACACTCATCTATTTATATGTATATTTTCACATACCCCCACACTCATATACAAATAACAATTACAACAACGCGGTTGGCAAAGTGGCCGACATTCAGCATATGCCGTGATAGCTAACTGTCGCGTTTTAACGTGTAACTGCTACGTGACCACCCCACCGCAGGCTTCAGAAGACATTGACTAACTTGGTATCCATATAAACCATATTCTATTACATTCTGCTCTATTCTTCTATAATATGTTTAAATTGACTGCTAGGAACAGTTTGTATGAAAAAAGAGATGTGGTATTTTTATATATTTCTTCATAAGAACCTCTCTTAATGTTCAAGGAATATTAAAAAAATATTTTATATTCTTATCAGAGTATTCTGTGACTTTTGTGTGTGTATTTTTTTCTAATTTTTATTTATCTTTTTTAGCAGCCAAATGAGGCCAACACACAAGGCGGCAACAATATGTGGGAGACTCCTCACATCCCAAATGATACACAAATGGACACTGTCGAGAAAATAATCAAAAAGGTCTTGTTACATTTCTATTCTAACCATTTTATACTAAAAAATATATATAACTTATATTATAAATTAAAAAATTGGTGTAAATAGTTTAAATAGAAAAAATAACCCAAAATTTGGGACTGTGTAGTACACAAATTTGTTTAAATCGTTTTATTAACAATATAATAGTAATAAATGTTATAAATTATGATGATGCGGGTCGTAAATTTTGACTGAAGAATGTATAGAAACTTTAACATTAGAAGCTACCGGGTGAAAATTGGGAAATCCATGAATCAATAATGTGAACTGAAGAAACAAGTACTTCTATGAGTGTATAAATGTCGTTGTTTTGAAGATATACCGTCTCAATATTAGTAGTGATACTAAAATGATTTTTTGATGATAATGGAATGATGCACCCGTCTGCGCTAACGATTTGCGCTGGCGGGGCAGTGGACAATGATAAAATGAGCATGAAGTCTGTTAGCCCATATGGGCAAATGGCAATTTACCAGGGGGAAACGCGCAGAGGTCAACCTGACATACATTAATAAGTACATTGCTAGTATGATATGGCAATTTACCGTGATGTTTCCGGGGGTGAGGGCTGGTCAACCTGACAGGGTTCGTTGCAGGCAATGGGCTATAATTATTAGTCCACAAATCCCCTTCTAAAATAGGTTCTTATGATTATGTGATTTTTTTACCAAGAGAAAACCGATCTACATTGCCAGCAGTTGTGTTATTAGCTGACATAAATAACAATTCCTCCCTCTAAACCTGATTATGTGATTGTTTGCCAGGCAAAAACCGATCTGAGCGGACCGGAGAATGTACCCGTCTCTCATTTTTCAACTATGAGCCCTGCACCCCCTCCGCCACCACCGCCGCCAGCGCACAGCCCAGCTTCGCAACCAAGTCCTAGGTTAGTCTGAGTATTCACTGTTTGTTTATAGTTACTAACAATACAGATGCATGTGATAGATGCCAATAGTATTTCCTATCTATACTTTGGAACGTATTCGTATTTATTTTATACTAAAATAATGGTAAACAAATATGATGAGAATTAATAATAATAAGATAATGAATCTTAAAGAGAATTCACGCTCAATTCCAAGCTCTGAAGTTAATAATGATTATTACAAACATTTCTTTTTAACGAAATTGGATTACAAATAGAGACGGTTAAAAATAATAATCAAAGTTATTTATTGCCATTTCTGAACATCAAAATGATTATACTACGATATGTAATAAATTGTATGGAGAAACTTTTTATTCTATTTATTTTATGAATTGTTATGAACAATCTCAGTTCCTATTTGTAGGGTTTGAGTATGCAAATATGCAAATTTGTATTTATAAACATAATATAAAGTATCCGGAGTCCTGTAATAATACAAGTACTTCTTAGTATGAGAGTATAGCGCTATATAATAACAGCATAGGTTATTTATTTATTACATTAATTCACTCAGGTAGCGTGTAGAGAATTCATGTATTGTTAAATATATATTTACTGTACAGACATCTGCCGAGCCCCATGCCTGGGCCGAGTGGGTTGAACACAATGTCCAATATACGATCGCCATCGCAACCTCAGGTTAGTTCCAACATGTTATCCAAACAATATATTACAATATGCAACAAAATCCATAATAATCTAAAATCCAGTTATGTTATGGAACTGAACAACTTTCGAAAAATGGAATTGTATACGAGAAAACATTATATTATAAACAATTTTTAAATATTACAGTTAACTTAAAAAATATATAATTTCCATGTCACTTGAAGAAGGCTGTTAAGTTTCATTAATAAAATAATAGGTTGTTAAATCTTATTACTGTTTCTTTATACAAAGCAATATGAGTATGGCATAGCTTTAATTAACGCATGCGTCTATATATATTTATGTTTAACCTCCATAATATTACCAATTTGGCTGTTTTCTACTGCGATGTCACAGACTTACAGACACAAAATTCTAAACTTCTATTCAATTCATAGAAATCAAACGGAAATGTACAATCCGTACATATAAATAAGGACTGACCTAACGAGTTAACATAGATTTTTCTATATATATCGTTGCATAGGTGAATCTTCGTTTCCTTTTACATAATAAGGAATAAATATTTTTATTAATGATGCTATATATGTGATGTATGTTTGTCTGGGTGCTTGCATTCCCCTTATACTAAACAATAACATCCTTATTACGCTAATGTCTGTGTTTAACAAATTACCAAAAATAATTAAGAATAACACACTCCTATTATGCGAATATTCCTGCGTAAAAGACAGTAAGGAAAGATAAAGCATTTGTTAAGAATCTTTTAAAACATTTCGTTAATGTACATTTTTATCACTTCACATAAAACATAACTGGACTATACATTATATTGAGTAATTAAAAAATAGTTTGGAAAGATAATTCATTTATATATTGTTATTTCACAATTTGATTAGTGTCTAAGTGGGGAAATTAGTGATGGATTTGACCATTTGGGTAATTAATTATGAATCAACACTACCTACTACTGATGTTTCGTTTTATACTCTAATTTTAAATTAATAGTACTATTTTTGTCACACAAATTATGGCGAGACACTTTGCCATGGTAAACCATAAACGCCACACCATTAGTGAAAACTTACTTCTACCAAAAAGTATACTACTGTCTTATTTGCTTGAATTGAACGGTAGTATGGAAATTACTTAGATAATTTAACAAAAGTGAACAGTGTCTTTACTATTTATACTCCAAAGCCCGCTGCAGCGAAGGAGTTTTCGTAATTACTTAACAGTTACAATATAAATAGTATTCTATCAGAACAACCAACCGATATGTGAAATTTTTAATATTTTCGTTATTTATATACATATATATCAGTAAATGGTTATCAAATATAGCTTAGAATTAATATATTGGTATCACTTTTCTGTGTCGGTAACAGTTTGTCCACAAATTTGAATATATAATGGCGCAAAACAAAGTGTATTTATTTGCAAATTAGTGCGCTCATAGTACGTACTATGTTGGAGATTCTGCGTAAGTGTTGCATGCTTCGCAAACATTAGAACGTTAAAACTTAGTCATTTATCAGAACTCGGTACAAATTTCAGAATTTGCGCCAAATTTTGAATTTCCTACACATCATGGCGTTGTAGGTATTCCCATATTTGAAGTCCCAGTAGACTATATAAGTAGTAATAAATTCACTCTCAGAACGAATGTGCTCCATTGTGCGTACTATGTAGATATATAGATAGATAATTAATTTATTGCCAACATAACAGAACAAATTACAATAATACACAAAATACGAAATAGAAAATAACATACAAAGTTGGCAATGGGAGCTACCTCAATGAGATGCACCTATTCAGACCAGTAATTAAAGCCTGTTACTCATAAAAAAAATACTAACATGCGGGTTTATTTAATTAATAACTATATACAAATACATATAAATTTACTAGCTGTGCCCACGACTTTGTCCGCGTGTTATAGTGACCATGACAAATTAAAGATAAAATATTGAAAAATCTAACTCATAAAAGACAAAGAAAACTTTTATCCCTTATTTTATTTTACCCTTAATAAAAATATTACCCATATTTTGCAAACTTTGAATGTCATATTTATAAATAAGAACACTCTAAAAAGAATTACGATATTCCCATGGAATCTTTCATCTCGCATTTCAACGCTGTTTTCGCATTAAAAAGTAGCCTATGTCCTTCCTCGGACTCTAGACCATATGTGTACCATATTTTCTTTAAATCGGTTCAGTAGTTTTGGTGTGCAAGCGAGACAAACAGACAAACAGTACTACTTTTAGTTTAGTTTAGTTACTTTCGTATTTATAATATTATGATGATATTTAAGGAGTAGAGGTAGTGTAAGTAGAACACAAGTAGTTGTGTACTAATCGCGCGACTGTGTAGGGCGTGAAGGGTGACCGCGACGTGGCTGTTTCCCTCCTAGTGTCGGTGCCGCTGCCATCCACCAGCCACGGGCTCAACCTCTCCGCACATGCACAGGTTCATAACTCACATGTACACACAAATATCTTAACAGTACAGACTCAGTCGCTCTACATACTTGACATATTTGTGATTAATATTTAACTCTTTCAGTGCCAATGCTAGAAATGCTAGTAAAAAGTGCATTTTTGTAGAAAATTATTACATTAACAAGAAAAATATCCACCATTTCCATTACAACACACCAATTTCATATTTTTTTCAACTTTCTCTTCAGAAGTAAAGTAAGTAATAATATGATAATATAAACACAGATTTTCAGATAAAAAACATCTTATTATTAGTTTTATTTTAAATTATAAATATTTAAAAAATTATAATCTTGATGTTTATATAAAAAATATGCTATCGAAGATAGTTAGAATGCAATATAATGAATACGGTAACGAACACGGTAACACTGCCGTCATCTGCGTGCTCCAAAAGTTACCTGTCAAAAGGAGCGCTAGCACAACGCGGGCATTTTCAAAACTAGCGAGAGCAGCGCGACGGTGCTTATTAGTACTAAAAGGGTTAATACTGAATAATATAGTAACATGTAAAAAAATATTTTTGGTTTTCTGTCTACTTTTGATCAAAATACATTAATAAAATTTAAAGTGTTAAAGAAAATATTATACTGAATAAAGTTATGATTATCAGTTAATTTTATACACTTTCATAACAGATGCCGTATTTATGTTGACATTCTACTATCCATTACTAGTGGTTTTAAAGTGCATAGAATTCTAAATCCGTCACCTCTAATAAATCAATATTAGCATGATACCTTGTAAAATAACCATTTCAATGTATGATAATTCTGGAATAAGTAACGTTGCGATATGTAGATAAACGATATTTTTGTGTACACGTCGCTATATATGCTTTTCTTATCAATGATTGTCAAGTACGAACTAACATATCGCCTATTTGCAAGTACTACGAGAATGATGCATGGTTGCCACGACAACGCTACCATAACAGCTTGAATTATTTCCATCCGGCGGCCGAAGGAAAAGAAAAATGTTACTAAGACGTGTATATTTATGTGTATATGTATGTTAGTCCAATTCTTTGGCACAACTTTTCTTTGGCAAGCCTTTTGACTTGAATGGATGGTGTGTCATTAGATTCGTATAAACTTTAGGTGTGATAAGTGGCGGCATTAGGCGTCGGCCACGTCCTCGCGATTAATGGGGCCTCACAAAGTTTTTAATTATTTAAAATTTAGTTATCCATTTTTTATTAATTTCATACAGTTGCACGAGTAAAGAGAGTGATTAGTACTTTACGGGATTCAAATATATCCAAATATTTATATAACAATTAGAATCATGTTTACAAAAGCCGAAAAGTTCGTGTATTTTAATTTCTATTTGTGTAATTTTTATAATCATTTGATTAGCAATAAATCTTGTGTACTCTTACATTAGTATAAGTATAATTCGGCTTATGTAATTTAAAGTTTTCTTGACTGGGAAAAAGAAGGCCTCGCGAGCCCTAATTTCGCCGACGTCCACGTGTGGTCTAGCGCCGCCACTAGGTGTAGGATATCTTTGATGATATGTAATAAATAAAAAGACTATAGACTATCATAGACTAGAAAAATGTAACAGACGTGGTTGGACTTCACCACTAGTTTACATATAGCTAATAACTGTTTAGGCTTGTTGATACACACACAAACACAAATATTTTTATGCGATAAGGAGTAAATAAAATCATGTCATATCGATAATTTTATCAAACTTTACAAGGGTTAGTAAAGCATGTCCACTTGTTGAATGGAAACTTGGTGTAATAGTAAATAGTGACGTCAGTTTTTCACAGGAACTGCTGACTATGTCAACACAAATCGAAAATAAATGTGCTAATGTGTGCGGGTTTGAATTGATAAGTTTCAGCTATCTATTGATGACTTTACATTAATGCGCCACCTAAAATATAGAGTGCATTACATTTTTTAATATGTATCTCGCCTATATGGTGTGCGATATTATAAAATATCAACTTAGGATCACAGTCTTCGCTAGAAAAATTACATAAAATTGTTTTGAGCATATTATCAATAATTTCCCATTTATTTATAGTTACTATTGTATTAAACGCTCATCCAAATTTATAGATAGATAGATATATAGATAAAAAATTTATTTACGTTAAAGGCACACATATGCAACGTACTGTAATATAAACATTTGTCAGTCAACAAAACACAATATAGGTACAAAAAAACAGTGTGAGTAACGTAGTGTGTGTGCATTGCCCACGCGCAAAAAGGCAGCACCTCCAGAGTTTGAAAACCACAGATTTTCAAGCAATTTACAATTTGATAGTTAAATAAACATAAATTTTGAAGCTAATCATTCGTGTATTCTCGCATATATAACTAAAAAGTAAAAGATGTTATGAATCTACTTTTTGTGCCATGTCGAGGGATACATTTTTATCTTATTATGTTACAACATCTCAGACACCTGTCTCGAAACTGTCAATCATTATACACGCGAATAATATTTATAAGGTTTCTAAATTAATCCCTAACATTAGATACCATCGAAAGATTCTATTTATTATGTAATTTAGCTACAGTAGACGGTATGTTTACATAACATAAAGTTGAACAATGATGATTCAAATTGATGATGATCAACTCGCGTCATGTGTATTCGATCATATATAGGAGACATTTGTCCACAGTGACATATATATATTGATATTGATTGTCCGTTTTTCCACCATTATATGTACTACTTCATACTCAAAAATTATGAAAAAAAAGCAGATTTCGAAAAATTGTGTCCAATTCACATCCTATTCTCTCTTAGATTATCCCCTCATTGATAAAGCGATGCGCGCATTACATTAGCACATTCACACAATGCAATAGAATAATATTGACTTGTTACTAAAATATAATTGTATTTTGGTATGTAGTTTGATAAATTTATCTTTTAGTAGATTAATATCGATGGACTGTAGACTATGTAGTGTTGTGTTGACATATTTTTAAATTAAATATATTATATATCTATTTATATATTTCGTAGGCGTCGACTTCAGCTGAGCACTGTGGCCCGTCGCCTCATATATTCCTCCCACCGCAAAAACAGGTAAGTAATCATGGAAAACTATTCATTTATACATATATTCTGCGCCTAGACAGATACTTTATAGAGGAATATGTTATAGTCGAGTTATACAATGATATTATGGTAATTTAAATGTACATACAAATACGAACACCATTAATGTTCCGTTTCATATGTGGTATTCTAGAATTTTCCTTTGGGATAACATTCATACATATTTTATAGTTGGAAAACAGAAATCATAACCCTCCCTGAACCGTCTTTTATCAATTATTTTCTCCTCATCCAAAACCCAGCTCTTCAACCCACCCTCAGACCCGCAGCTGCCTTTTACTAGGCTTCATAGTACAATTATATTAGAAGTTTTAGCCAGTAAAGGAAGTCATTTTGATCTGTTGTTGGTTCTCGGCCACAACGCGTGTGGCCAGTGACGAAGTAGTCGAATCGAATTAAGATAAGTTACTACACTACACTAACAACTAGGTAAATAAACAAAATATAAAGTCAATAAATGGAGATAACTCAGCGCCGTTATGTATGATAGTAAACTGCAAGCAAATACTTGCCGAAATGTCTGACAACGATTAGGTTCATTAATACGTACTAGCGCTATATCTATATACTATATATATATATATATATATATATGTATAGCGCTAGTATGTATAGTATAATAATTTAATTTATAAAATTATTTTTATAGCTCATGAATTTTTATGAACTTCTTCATATGCTGTGTACAAACATTGACTTTTAATTAGATTATATTGTATTTTATTTGTAAATGTAACAAATGTAGACAATAAATAAAAGCATAAATACAAAGTAATATATATACTCATATATGGATTATCTAATCGTACTTAATACCAAAATACTAAGAACTCTATACAAAAAGGATACAGCAAACGCAATCAGTAAGCATAATCGTACACAGTTGTGCTGTATTCACACTATCGCAAAGTATTTATCTTCAATAGTATTTACACCCACTGGCCTCGAAAAGTCACATCCACACTATATACAGAGCTGTAATAAAAATGACATAGAAAGTTTACTTATAACTATGCCTAAAACAATCAACACCCCTAATAAAACGGTACAGTTCTGAGAAACCGCCGTTAGAGAAGACATTGCGATTTCTTATGTACCTGCTCGTTCTCCCCATCCCTCCGTCTACCTGCTCGCATCCAAACCCATGCGACCCAACTATTCAGTACAGTAAACACTCTGGTTCGGTTAACATCTGCCAGTGGCACCCTAGCGGAGTTTATCATATCAATAGCGACGATACGCCAATGTCGCCCGCCGTTCAGTTCGGTATACGCATGCGCGCCTACATAGTTATCACAATATAGTGTCGCTACACCGGGTTCGCCGTTTGATTAGCGTTTAACAAAGTCTCGAATTATCAACATGGTATGTATAATTGAAATTTAATAATAATCTTTATGTTGAGCGATATTATAAAATCAAAACAAAGTTATTTCCACTAACGTTACATTCGTTGATATTTAGAATTAATAGTAATGCTCGCACGTTTTAATGAAACATGTGTTGGTAATGGCTCAGAATATTGTGTCGTTTAGCAATTCATATAAGGATAAATATAATTAGTCTTAATATAAAATTACATCGCATTCGCATCCGCGCATGTGGTGTTTAAAATGCTAATACAGTGTAGTTATAATTAGTAGTTAATAAACGGATTTGCTTCCTAATTTTTATAGTATATTACACCTAAGTATCGAATTCATATTAGATTAATAATAAAATGTCACGTTTAATATTAAAATAAATAAAAAAACTTTTCAGTAGACATTTTAGGCAAACGCTGGAACCGAGCATCGTCAACAGGCAAAAAACCCAGCCTCTAAACCAAAAAAATCGCAGCGAACTGAGCAAACTCAGTAGAGCAAAAGGATAGGGATTTCCTAATTGTTTCAAAAGCTAGAGCGTGTTGTGTCTAGTCTTGAAAGTTTTTAAGGCCGTATTATAATTTAATTGAAAAAAAAATAACAGCGTGTCTTAAATTTCCACAATTAGAGCAATGTTTTTCCTGCGTATTTAGATATATACCTAATATCTTGTGTCGATGTATATTAATCTGTTTCAACAGACTTCAAACAAAGCAGCTATTCTATATATTTTTTTCGTTTTTGATACCGCATAAATTACTTAATTTATAAATCGATTAATATGTCTATTTTATACACATATTCTAATCTAAAATTAGTAATCTATTAAAACAGTTATATGACATATCACAGGTTGATATCTACGTAGTCTTTCCTGGAAGCCATCGTAGTTAATTCCTAGTAAATTCTTCATGCTGGCTGATGTGATGGGTGGCCGATACGATAGCATCAGTATCAGACTGATGCTATCGTGTATCACTGGCGCCCCATCAACAGCATTCCTTTACCGCTAAGTTGATACACTATTGCATATTCCTCCAGTTTTATTCTATTCTAGTAAAAAATACATCAAATATTCTATGCCAACTTAAAATCTTAACAAAATAAATGAGACATACTTCTATCCGATATCACTTTTCCTGGCTATTTTTAGCCTTAATACGAGTAATGAGTAAAAATACGGCGACTGACTCTGAATGTTGTACGCTGAATTACAAACATATGTATCCAAAAAAATCAGCTTCATTAGTAAATGTTGCAGAATTTTGTGGATACACATGTTAATCGAAAGCATTGTCCATTGACGGTTTCGTCAAGTATACAAGGCTCCTATATTATTCTTGCTACTATACATTCTCCTCCACCCTCCCTCCACGAGATCTATAGGATTATTATATTTTAGTTTCCACCTTACCCTGTGAATATGACAATTTTCCACTTTCGTATATACAAGAATAATAATGTAACGAAACAAATTTATACAAATAAATAACAAGTCATCATAATGAATAGAAAAACATTAAACAAAATGCAGTCTCGACATAAACATTTTCCAATTCTAATTTTATAGTTATTGATAATACTTAAATATAAATTATTCATTTCAAAAGCCAATGTCGTCAACATAGCTTATTGTTGTTTTATCCTTGTTTAAATATTAATTAAGTTAATTAACAATTGATGTAAATAATATTAGGTTTTGAATATTGTTAACTTGGTGTACATGAAATTGCGGTATATGTTTTCAGGCTGCGATGGACCCTGGTATGCCAGCTCATCCGCCGCTGGCAGTGCCTGGACGCTCTACATGGGGTGGTCTGAATGTGACCTACGAAATGCAACAGGATCCCAACAAACCTGGGCAAGTATTTTTTATTACTTTTATGTTTTATTTTTGAATGCATACAGAGTTTTGGGAATGTTTGGGGAAGCGTCAGGCGTCTGGAAATTGGACCCGCTCTTCGAAATATTAGGTTGCAGTCTATTACTATCGTTTGATGAATTTTATAATTCATATAGAAAGCAAAACCATTGCCTAACAGCTCTTATCTTAGGAATTAGTTAATGGGTTTCATTTTGTTTTTCGAATATGTACTTTAATGCTAATTTTATTATATTATTAATTTGTAAATTTATATTATTATATATGTAAAATATAAATTTACAGACGAATAATTAAATACATATTTAAGCAAAATAAATATCAAATTTACATGAACAAAAAAGTCGAATATATCCTAGATTTAATTTTTTGTTATAATAACAAGTAACGCGAGAGTTATACTAAAATGTTACAATTAATTCTGATCATGACAAAATTATAAAGCTTTTGAATAGTGAATAGATTTTATTGAGTAATAACAGAGCTTACATGTTTTATTGTGTATATGTAACCTCTGGTAATACTCTGGTATTTTGGCAGAGGATTATTGAATATTATATGTGTGTAACACTAGCTGAGCGTTCTAATTGTAATCCGTGGTTTTTTTTTTTCAATTTCTCCTAATAATAGTAAAATTTTATGTATTCTCTATACAGAGAGCGATATTTCTTTATATACATAATTATGTAGTTTACTTCATTATTCATCCTAATTTAATTTCTAAATATTAATCTATTTCATTATATTTATTTTAATGCTCCATTGAAAGTGATAATTACTTATTTGTGAATTTTAATTTTATAATGCGATGTTTATTATATGTATTTATCTGTTTTTTTAATGTCATGTATAGACTATAATTCTCTTATTATTTAGCGAATATTTTATACCAGTATATTTCTTACGCTTTTGTTGTCTACACAATGAATACAACATGGGTATTATTTTATTATATTTATCATACGCTGTGCGTGCGACATAAATACATAGTAATCGGAATAACAATAGGTCAAACTTAACTTAAATAACTTTGAACCTATTGCAATATTATTGTAATATATATATATAATAATATTGCCTAAAGTATTACATTGAATAGCTCAGTCAGTCGGTTAAGCTATTTTTTAAATTGGAATGTACAAACGCCCGGATAGATGAAATTTTAAAAACTATTTGTTTACCGCGGTTACTTAAGTACATTAAATACTAATAATGAAATCAAGAGATGTATTTTAAAAAAATGAGGCAATTTTTCTCTAAAAATTTTTTTTTGTTTTTTGTATATCCGCGATTGTCTTTTTTTATTTAAGATAAAGAACAGCTAAAGTATATCAAGCTTGCGTCTTATAGTTTTAAAATAAGTATTTATCAAAATTCTATCTGCTTTATAAACTAAAACCAATTTTAATATTAATTATTTTATATTCTTATTACTGGCTGTCGCGGACCTTTTACAGAACTATTTAGGCGAAACAAATTCATCAAAGATTGTCTTAGTGTAATTATACGATTTATGAAGAACACGGCAAAGATTGTCCAGGTTGTATGTAAGAGATTGCTGATAGCGATAAGACCGCCTTTTATAAAACATTTATTTTCAACATTATTTATTGTTTTGTACTTAGTGTCCTTTGTTTATGTATGCACAATAAAGAGTTATTATTGCATTTATTTTCTCAACTTCTTTGTCAATATCATTATATATCACCCAACTTACAGAACCTTTGTATCTTTATCTCGTAAATTTCTTAGCTTTTGAATGCTGGAAAGCATATCTATTTAAAATTTAAAAACAGTATTATTAAAATGATACCAAAGCTATGGCAAAGAATTTTGTCATTTATTACTTTATAATATGTTTTCCAGCATCAATACACATATAATATTCATATCTCTATATAAACTTTATGATTTAAGTATAATTCTCGAATTTATCGTGACCCATCTGGTTTGTCACTCCGATTTATACCCAAAGGTATAAATCGGAGCAAAATACTTTATTTATCAACTTTCCAGTCTATTTGACTCCTGTGATGAAAAAACTGTAACAAACCACCAAATTAATACATACAACACCAATGAGCTCCCCTGCTGCAAATATACAGAGCGTTGGGGGATGGTATTTTTACGAACATGCCATATTAAGGCAATCTCCACGCGGCAGCCCTGGAAACAATCAACTAATGTGACTTCATCCTTTGAATGAATCCTTTTTTACTAGTGTCCCTCAAGCAAACAGTGTTAACCCAGACGCATATATCTTTCGAAATTTATATTTAATACTAAATTTCGTCCTTAAAAATATATGCACCACAAAGCTGATAATTTACAAACTCTGTCTACCCCATCTCAAAGAACAGACATTATTTATATAAAGTAAATTTTCTATTATATGTTTCTTAATTCTCAACAGAGTAAGCGGTCTGGCTGGACCCAGTAAGGATGTAAGCGTAGGACCGCCTATGCCGCCTATGCCCCCTGCGACAATTAGAAACAAGAAACGCAATGCTATGGCCACGTCCGTAGTTGCTATGGCAAATAACCCATCGACGTCCGCAATACGTAAGTACTCAAATCAAAAATATTTAAACTTGACATAATATCCAAATAAAAATCCTTACCATCTTATTTCGCCCATCGGTGGGTCACTCGGCAACGAACGTAAATGTACACGTTGGGACCGGGTTATCACCCATGGGCACTTTAACTAAAATAAATCTAGGGGTTAAATAATATTTACCTCAAATTATTACTGCTACACTAAAAATATTAAAAAAATAATATACGCATTTAACAATAAAAAAGAAGTGATTGTTGTAATCATGTAAATACAATTTATAACGTTCCAGAGACCGTAACAAGTCAAACTATTGGGAACATGCGTCGCCCACCGCAGCCTACGCCTCCACCCATATACCAGGAGACGATTAAAGATTCACCACCGAGCTCGCCTAGTAAGTATCCATGTACTAGCCACGCAAGTAACGAGTACTAATACCTACACTCAATTATTTAATATCATATCTCACCTTAATTGAGCTCAACACATACCACACTCAACTACTCGCAAATTGTTAAAAGGTATGTTATATATGTATACTATATTTCTTAATTATTTGTTAAAGATTATATTGCTAATTTTTGTAACATTTTATATTTATATACCTGGTATTCATATCTATATTATTTACTATGTAATATACGACATTGTGTGCGCATAATGCTATCCAAGCAGTATAGCTTTATAGTATGTACCTTATTGTTCAGCACACAGTAACATAATTTTAATTGTAAATCTTTGTTGTTGTTGAATAAATATATAAGTAATGAACGGAATCGATGGCGTCACATATTTATACACTTACATGACAATTTTGTATTTATTAATACATTGAGTTAAATATATATTTACCATATAAAAATACATTTATATTGAAAAACAAAACTAGAATATTATTGTTGTTCCTTAAAAATACACTGAAACATGAAACTTCCATTCGAACAGCAAACATATTACTTAAATCACAATATATTTTTACCGTCATCGTTTTATTTTACAATGTTAGTTTACTTCACTACTTTTAACACGCTATCTTTATCGCATATTAATTAGACATTTTTGTTTAACATTTTAAATTAAATGTTATATATCTTTTTACTTATCTTATTTAATATTTGTTACAGGCTCTGAGCGTCCATTGAAACCTAAAATGGATGCAAGGTAATTATATTATTTTAAATAATAAAAATTATATAAAAAGAAAATAAAAAATGTTTCTCTAAAACTATATTTAAATACAAATTAGAAAGATATATTTTGCATTTAAAATAATAATATTTGGGAAATGTCCAAAAGAATGAACCATGTTGTGCATTGCACAAATTTAATACTGTCAGCAAGCTATCTCCAAAAACTCTGAAAATCACTTAATATCTCACTGATAAGCAGTCTTATCTACATGCAAACACAATATCGTCACTGAAATTATCTGTGCATAAGTCAGGGATAGTAGTTTAGTCATTTTTCACTAATCCTTAGAGTCATTCAACAAAGCAGAAACGAACTGAACTTAGCTGAATAATGTCGAACTAGATCTTAATTCAAATATCTTTATTGTGGATCAGGTTAAGTTGTTACAAATAAAATATACAAAATAAGTGCTCATAATATTCAATAGTTGGATTTTTACATGTATATTTACTTTTCCAAATAATGTTTTTTTTCCGTACTATAATGCTGTTGGCCGCAGCTGGTCTTTACAGCTTCACCGGACGATAGAGAGCGAGTGCAGATAACACTTCAAATTAATGAAATTACTTATGGAGCGGGTGAAGGCCAACTTTAGTCTGAGGGCACCGGTATGGATTCGAACCTTGGCTCAGGCCATCGTAATTTCGATCCCCATTAAATTGGACGTAGGATCGATCATTCAAATTTTAACTCAAAACAAGTTTTAATTATTGTCACAATCAGCCGTATCGGTGTGAGCTGCACAGCGCCACATATGCTTGGCAACGAATTGAACCCAGAAAGTGGTGCGGCGGCACGCCTGCAGGAACAATTGAGTGCTGAACTCGCAGCACACGCTGCTGGAGGCTCCGGCGTCGACCCGCTCATACCGCCACCGCTCATCAATAAAGCCGGACCGGTAAGTACTTCTTACAAATCTGAATATAGTAATAAAGGAGAGCCCACTTGGTAGGAAGCGTTAACTATCGCCTACGTGGCCCATGGCAGATTTTAATCAAGGCAACCATCGGGAAAAGATTAAGTATCGTATATAATCGTATATATATGTAGGTAGATAAATATGCAAACAGGAGAAAAGTATAACAAACATATTTGTTCAAGGAAAATAATATATACTTATTATTATACGAATTAAAATTTAAATACTTTCCATGTTACCATTCTTGAGGACTAAGGCTCCGAAGTAATTGGTAATTTCACTTCTATATATCTATATCTCTATATTCTACGAACCAGAATTCAGAATGCAAAACAAATTGCTTGACTACAAATGAAATAGAGATAAGTCTTGTCATGAATATTACTGTCAAAAAGCATAATTCCTTTTAATTCAGTGTGAGACTGTTCAACAGTCTCACACTGAATTAAAAGGAATTATGACAAAAAACACTTGCAATTTATTATTTACATTATATAAACGAGATAATGATAATCATAATTATTTGCGAGCTCCCGATTGAGATTGATAACAATAAATGTCTCGTTTGTAACTGTGTAAAATTTTTAAAACTGTAATTACAATTTATACACAGAGTTCAAGCGGCTCAGGGCGTGGTGGAGCGTCGGGTGCACAAAGCCTCGACCAATTGCTCGAGAGGCAGTGGGAACAAGGCTCGCAGTTTCTCATGGAACAAGCCCAACATTTTGATAGTAAGTTGGTTATTTCTGATATAAGTAATTATATCATTTAAACAAAATGTACATAAAAAATAAAACTAAATTTATTCTTACTATTAACAACTGCGCCCCTAATTTCACCATATTAAACTTTTATTTTGCTTTCAAAACGTTCTGATGTTTCACTTCATACTTAGACTAGAAGCAAAACTAAATGAATCTCTCGAATTTCTAAGGCGACTTTTCTAAATGAAATGTTTATCACAGGAAAAATAACGTCATATGAGTTAAAAAAATAATTAATTTGAATTTATTACCAGTTCTCAACTGTAGTGGTTAGCTGAACTGGACGGTAGTGACTAAATATGTCCTATGAGTACTCATAGATAGATATGGACATAGGATTTAGACTTTATTTTCCTAAAAGCTCCGTTTTGACAAACAATACTTTCATAGTCATTTCTAAAATTAAATTAGAGACAGATAAATTAAAACTGAAAAGCACATTTTCACAGGATCATGTCCAAAAAATTTTGATTTCGTTTTACCTCTTGCCATATCGAAAACAAATACAAAGTTCGAATGCGCCTTAACTGTATACTACTGTAATGTATATAAATATATTCCTTAATGCATCAAATTCAAACATCAAGTATATAAACTTTCAATAAACACGCGTAAAATAGACATAAATTACTGCAATCTGGTAAAAACCTTATAAATATTCATTTTGACTGCATGGGTACACGTATATATACAATTGCTTGCACGTTTCTGTGTTCATGTGTATGTATATGTGTCTGCATTTAAATGTGTATTTATCATATTATAAATGTTTTATTTAAATGTTTCACATTAATTTATCTCGTATTAATTATATGGGACGGTATGATATTGTCATTATCAATATCCTATCTCATGTATATGTAATTACAAAAGGCATATTGTTGTACATAAATGATCCTGATGTAAATAGATCCCTGAGATTTTTTTTGCTATACCCCAATCGTGTTTGTGTACACACTATCATTATTATGTACTGTATGTTCTGTAAATGTATGGAATGTAAATAAATAAATAATTATAACACTCAATAAGCACAACATCACATTTCTGTCTTTGATCTTTAAGTTGGGCCGCATGCATGCCTTGCCCCTTTTATTTTTGTGCGTGTTTATATCTTGTATATTTAAATATCTCACCTCCCTTTGCTCACGTAGTGTCACAAGTTAAAAAATGTAAAATGAAATTTTATTGCACTATTTTTCCAAAATTTTCCTACTTTAAGACACAAGAAAAATTTTAATTGGTTAATTAGAAACAAATTTTTCGCAAATATTAGTTTTTTGTTGTGACACTACTTGAGAGGAGGTGCGACATTTATCTAATCTTATTTGTTTGCTTCAGTTGCATCCCTACTGTCGTGTCTTCACCAACTGCGCACAGAGAACGTACGTTTAGAGGAGCATGTGGGTAATCTATTGCAAAGGCGCGACCATCTGCTAGCTGTCAACGCCCGCCTCGCTATACCACTCACGACCGGTGAGTGAAGTGATTAGAGAATGGGGGGGACATACCACAAGCCAGTGGTTACTGAGGTTGATTGCACCGCGACCCATACAACAAAATTTTACAAACTCGAAACTCATCTCTTGGCTGTCGTTAGCATAAAATATTAGCGATGCCGAGGTTCTTTAGTGGTATAAGAGTCCGCTCAAAAATTGTAGACCGCGTTATGGGTTGCGACCTGTAATTTAGAAAGTGCAGGCACTAACAAAATCATACAAACTCGAAACTCATCTCTTAGCTATCGTTAGCATAGAATATTAATGATGCCGAGGTTCTTTAGTGTTATACGGACCCGCCCAAAATTTGTGGACCACGTTATGCATCGCAACGTGTAGCTTTGAAAGTGCAGGCACGAATAAAATCTTACAAATTCAAAAGTTATGTCTTGGCTGTCATGAGCGTAAAATAATAGTGATGCCAAGGTTCTTTGGTGGTATAAAAGTCCGCTAAAAATCTGTGGCCCACATTATGGATCGCGACGTGTATCTTTGAAAGTGCAGGCACTAATAAAATCTTACAAACTCGAAACACATCTCTTGGCTGTCGTTTCTATAAAATATGATGCCGAGGTTATTTACTGGTATAAGGGTCCACTCAAAACTGTGGCCCATATTATGGATCGCGACGTATAACTTAGAAAGTAAAAGCATAAATCTTCTTATTAAAATCAAAAGCATTAATTCATATTAGGCGTTTTAGCCATTAATAAAACTAAATTACATTACAATTTCAACACTACTATCCAGTTCAGCTGACAAATGTGTAGATTTACTTTACACTGCTTCCACTTTTGTGCTCGATCAACATTGTCAAGTTTATCAATAATTAAAGACAAATTTAAATGGTAACAATTCACAAAACAAATACAACGAGATAGAATTCATAATAAGTAATCACAGAAAACAAACTATATGATATAAGTTTTGACTCCTGGACTCTTAGAAGATTAGTTGTAGTGATACACAAAGACGTAGTTGGTTACTTATTTTTTTTTCTTTTTGAAAAAAGGTTTATATTAATCGTGAAAGCTGATAATCATTTTGGAATTGAACTATTACCTTATAGTGACAACCGGCCCGCCGGAACCAACCCGATGTACTCGCGAGAATGGATCTCAGGTGCGTCCCCCGCCACCAGTACGCGCCCCCGAGACCATCACGTCGGAACGATCACATCAGGTACATTACAGATTTATAATGCAATCATAAATACATCACATTATTTGTTATTTGACGACCGCAGTGGTCTAGTGGTTTAGCATACTGCTTTACATCCGATGATCCTGGGTTTGAATCCTCGCACGTTGTAAACATTTATATTTGAATTAACATTTGTCATGATTTCTATGTATTTATTTAAAAAATACATAATAATAGTATTTCTATTAGTTCTCTAGTATTCATAACACAAGCTCTGCTTAGCTTTGAACGAGATCGTAAGTTATTTGGGACAATTCACACAGTATTATGTAGTCTCTCAACCTTAGGAGAACTCGTTCTAAACAATCTATATATTAATATGTCAAGTAAATACTTTGTATTCCTTTTGCGCGGGCCGATATTTATTAAAAGTACATTTTGGAAATATATACATAGAAAGAATACATTATACTATTTAATAATTCAATTACTACTGTCATAACATGAGTTTCCTTTCTCTTAATATTTATCTTAATCAAACTCGTATATAACTAACACTATACCCTGCAGCTTTTATAAACCTCAGATTGCAGTTCGTACTTTAATAACCTAATCGAGCATGTCAAAGAATACTCTACGGTCTATTACAATTTGCAGCTCATAATGCGAGAAGTACAACAGAAGCCCAGCTGAAAGGAGCCGGGTGGCGGAGGCGGCGAACCGCCAGTTCCGGGGCCCTCCGGAGCGGAACCCGAGGCGCTCCGCACCGTACAAACGTACATAATGCTCGAACAACGGCGCAGGGCCGACTTCTCCATCGACTCCATACTGAAATTCGACCACTAAACATACGGACTCTACGGCCGACAAGGAAATGTATTTGACGTGAATCCACTGGTAATGTACAGTTAATTACCGGTTGTTACCAACTACCGGTTACTGTACAATTGCGTTATAGATCGCACGCTTTGAGATTTGATATTATTAAACATCCTGTATATAGTCTCATAGTATTGCCAGCGGGGTATTTCATTGTATATTGATATTCATACGTTTATGTCGAGGTTAGAATAGAGTTGTATTTAATTATTAGATGATGCTACTGTATTCTCTCGGCAGACCCTATAAGGGACCTTTGTGAAAATATATTGTACAATGTGTACTATTTATTGTATTATTATTGTGACGTATTGAAAAATTGGACTGACTTATTACACTGCTATGAAATACAGCTGAAAAGCTATTGGACATGGAAAAAAAAATGACTGATGACTTTAATTACATATATTTGTGACTTACGATAATGTATGTTGTATTGTTCAGATATCACGACTTTTATAAGGACATTATGGGATTCATTCTGTTCAGTAATTAATAATTACTGAATAGTCATTTTTAGCGACTAGTAGATGTATTTATTTGTCGCTTGTGAGTAATGGAGCGTATATAGACTATGTTCTGTCTTCTAGATTTAAGTAAGTATTTTTGTTTTCGCATGGGGTCCCTTATTGGGTAGGGAGTGTCTATTTTAGTGATTATTTCTATGTTTATCTACTTCAAATGTAGACTTAAATACTTTTAAATCGAAATTTAAAGGTTCGTATGAATATCTATTCCGTACAAAAGTTGACAATCACATATTTATAAATTATTTTATTTTACCATTATTCTTAGACAATCACATAAACTGTTATATTACCATTTTTTTGCATGCTTTTATTTTATGTCTATGCCTTCTCTACAATCTATTCTCTTAAATTAATTCACCTTTATATTTATAAGTGCATTGTTTACAATAGTCTATTTCTAGTGATTACATCTATATTTATCTACTTCAAATGTAGACTTAAATACTTTTAATACGCAGTTGAATGGTTCGTATTGATAACAATTATGTGCAAAAGCTACAGAATAATTAGAATTATAATTCATTGCCAATTTTTTAAATCTAGACTAGAACTATTTTTTGTCTCGATTCATCCATTTTAAACTTTTATGCATGCTTTTATTTATTTTGACTTCAATCTAACCTTCTTTACAATGAGAATGAATTAACCTTTATATTTAAATCTTTTACAATATAGTCTAGAATGTTCCTTTTTTTGCCTATTACATTTATTGGCAACAAGCATATAACAAAAAATTCAAATTCCATACTGATGCACAATTAAAAGCAACTCCAAAAAAATATGACATACATTCATATATTACAGATTGTAATAGACATATATGGTACGACAGAACAACTAGCAGCATTATTTGTCATTGTTATATTTCAATATTACTATTATTATTTAACAACAAATAATGATAAATATTTACACAACCCAAAATACTGAGTTTTGAATTATATAAAAATTGGAATTATTTTTAAATCATTTTAATTTTGTTTTTATACATTGGCGGCATATTCACAAACAATCACAAAAAACAAATATTATAATCTAACGCGGCACATCCAGGCAACGTTCCCAAGATACTGGCAGCATTGCCTCTTTGGACAAACTAGCCACCATCTGCAGGGTCAGTAATAACCTCTATGTTCCACGCTGAAATACTTGTCAAAAACAATTTAGCTTCCGGGCTCCATGGGCCCAACGTTGACAACACTATACCAATATTTTTAAATTTCATTTAATGCTGATATAAATAGTATTGCATGATAATAATAATCTTTATAATTCCATTTTTATTAATATTGTAGTTCTTATTATTATCCGCCTTAGTATATCTGCTTCGTTAAGAAGACTCATAGCGTGAAAATACTGTAGATCTCTAATGTAACGACATATTGCAACAAACATTATCATCTATTTCATGTATCTGAAGCATTTAGCTAATATTTACAATAAACAAAATCTAATATCACATTTTGACATTTACCTTTAAGAGAAACATCGGAAAGGTCCGCCATTATATGTCTATACAACTTAATATATGAAGAGAAAAGTGATCCCAGCTCGTGATTATTTGAAGTTACTCTCCTCAGATTATTTATATACTTTGGCGTCAATTTAGCAAATCGAGATTTAAGCTGTCGTTAATTTTTTACCTACCTACCATACACTAACGTATTAAAAAGTATAATTAAGTGTATTTAGTGCTTGGAATATATGTTGCTTTTATTGGACTATTGTCAAATAAGAATATCTGTATAATCGTAAAGATTTTGATTAAACTGCGGCCTCACTAATCGCGGAGACACTCTTGCGAGAACACTACTCTCGGCTTACATATACTGTGCGTGGACACATATCTCCCTCTGACAATTCGATTTTTAGTCCCGACAAAACAAATACGAGCCGACATACTTCAACTTAGCTCAAAATGCCGAACTTTCGCGTCTTCACGATTATTCTATAGAATTAAGCCTAATTTACTTCATAGCATAATCTGTATAACGTTTATATTCGTAATTAGTTTTTTAATCATAATTATTTTATGGCACCAATACTAAGACTATATCGCTGAAATCTTGGCTCCGCCAGCTAGCACTAGTTTTACGTCACATTCACACAATGAAATAAAAATGCATAATAATTAGTTATAGTTTTATTTAATTAATATCTCAAAGCGCGATATCCTTTTGGTACCGTGACACTAATAGTTGATTTGGTCTGCTCTAGTCGTTACTACTGGTTTACTTTATTATTTAATTGTAACTAACTTAACTTTTTTATTATTTTACACTGTTTAGTAGTTTGTAATCACGCGATGTTAAAATTTCATTTGAAGGGTATAGGCTGAGTTTTTTCGGTTGATCCTTTATTTGGTAGGCAGAATCACAAAAACTGACCAATATAAACTGATTAAATTATGTTTATTTTATTGAAGGTTATTTATATTTATTATATGTGCACTATTTATAAGGGATTACACATTAACTGCTTTATGAAATCAATGTCGTAAAACTAGTCCCATAATGTAAATTAGGTTCTAAATACATGTTCTGTCCTCGATTACAAATAAACTTGTCAAGAATATAATGTTAAGGTATACCATAATTCTGTGTGTCGTTCTTATTTATATTTAATTGAATATATAACTGTTGCATCAATGTTCAATGTAATTCCTCAATTACACTCAAATAAACTTGTCAGTAATATAATGTTCGTATTGATGTCTACAATAATACTGTGTGTCGTTCTTATTTAAATTTAATGGAATATGTAACTCTTGCATCGATGTTCAATGTAATTTCTCAATTACACTCAAATAAACTTGTCAAGATTATAATATTTGTATTGATGTCTACAATAATACTGTGTGTCGTTCTTATTTAAATTTGATGGAATATGTAACTCGTGCATCGATGTTCAATGTAATTCCTCAATTACACTCAAATAAACTTGTCAAGATTATAATATTTGTATTGATGTCTACAATAATACTGTGTGTCGTTCTTATTTAAATTTAATGGAATATGTAACTCTTGCATCAATGTAATTTCTCAATTACACTCAAATAAACTTGTCATGAATATAATATTTGTATTGATGTCTACAATAATACTGTGTGTCGTTCTTATTTAAATTTAATTGAATATATAACTGTTGCATCAATGTTCAATGTGATTCCTCAAATACACTCAAATAAACTTGTCAAGAATATAATGTTTGTATTGATGTCTACAATAATACTGTATGTCCTTCTTATTAAATTTTATGGAATGTGTAACTTACATAGATGTTCAGTGTTACTCCTAAATTACAATTATATACACATCTCCACATTATAATATATATTGTATCGATGTTTACAATAATACTGTATCGTTTCATAATAAAATTTAATGGGATATGTAACTTTTACATCGATGTTCAATGTTTTTTCCATGTGTTTATTATAACTTATATTCACCGTATCTTAATTAGTGTAATAATATATAGCCGTGTCAATCTTTTCCCGAGCTCTACCAACTTGGCTCGGCACGACACTGAAATAATCTAATGTCTCGTGTTAATTTGTAAAACATATCACTTACGCATATTATTTACGTCATCACATTTGCATAATTATATTTAACTGGTATAAGTAATATTTATTATTAATCGATAATTTATAAGTGGAAATATTGTAAGGCTTCGGGCCACCGCGATGGCGACCTCAAGAGTAAGGTTATAAATAATTTTGTAGCAAACAAAATGTTTACTTTTCTTTCAATTTCAACGAAACTTTTGATATCGTAATAAGCATGAAGTAATGCATGGTTGTGCTACAAAATTATTTAATGTAAACGTCGCGTAACAAAGGGATAATGAGGAGTGACTATCATTGTAAATCGGTATAGGGATTAATTTTGACCACCCAAATATTATTTTTTGCATTCCTGAGCCCTTGAGTCATACGACGTACGTACGACTGTGAAATAACGAAAACATATTAATTCGATAAAAGCTATCTAATAAGAATATAATTTATATTATTTATTTCCATAATTTAATCATATTTTGAATTTGCTATTAATGCATTTTTCGTGTATCTTATCATGATAAAAATACAGAATATCCATCAAGATCTATGTATGTAACTATCTACAATTATGTAGGAGTACAGGTTGATATCGAAGCCATTAATGGTATTTATCACTGATAACATAATAATAATAGTTAGGTAATTGCTACAGCATCACTTTGAAGTCTAATATATTCGGATAATTATAATAAATAATCTGCAAATCGTAGGCGATTGCTGAGATTTTCCTTATTTATATTTAGGCGATTTTGATTTGATCCCATTCCAAGTTGCGATAGACCATTTCGCCGAACACAGCTGAGAATATTTTTAGTGACATTAGGTTGCCCTGATGAACATATGGGAGATTATGGAAAATTCTTTACTTATTCTAATTTAATTTTTCCACTACTTTTTTAGAATATAAAGTGTTTATTTTTAAATGCAGATACATTATGATGTCCAAATGTCTTTCGTGTTCAAGCATGTCGAATGCCTTATGCTGTATAGGACTTTTACATAGAGTCATTGTATTTGTATATTACTTTGATGACTGCATGGATATGGTATAGAATCGAGAAATGACTCCTAAACCATCCTGCTCTTAGTTGGTTTTTTTCTAATAAATTTATAATATCTATTTAGGGCTTGTATTAGTACTATGGATGATTTAGTCTAATCCGTGGATACGTTTCCAATTTCAATTTTCTATTTCTATTTAATTTTTACGCTTACCAACAGTGAGATTCAAGTCTAAATTTTTTTTATTGTCATGACTATTTTACTCAATATTTTTTGGAACTCTAGGTTTTTTACTTGTCTTTCGTCTTATTCCTCACCATGCCTTCTTGCATAAATGTCACCAATGACAATCAAATTAGTCTTATTGTAAAAAAGCGGTACTCAGTCATTAATCATTAATAAATAATTAAACATTAATTTATTAAACATTTTTATTGAATATTTGACAACAATACATAGTTACACAATAATGTTCGATACATAATGTACTTGTTGCGTTTCATACAAGCTATATCTAACACGCTCCTTATGACAATTTCCGGCATCGGTCAATGTTTAAATATAATTTGCAATGCGAAGGAAAACAGTCCATACACGCGTATTTGTATAAAATAAATATGATAATGATTGATAAAGATGTTTGTTGTTGGATTAATGACTAGTCCGTCAAGTAGGCCTCTTTAATCAATCTGCCGCCGGAAATTTAAATGATCACGTGTAATTTTTAGTAATTATTAAAAATATATATAAATATTCAATAGTGCAGTAAAGTATAATTTTATTCTAATGTACACTACTACATGTAGATTTTTAAATTACTAACATGTAGTATGTTAGTAATTTAAAAATCTTTTTAGTACAAATTTATAAAGTATTCACGCATATCTAGTTCTAAATACCAATAATGACTTCTATTTCACAATTATAATCATATATCACAATTACGAAAAGACAATTTTACTTTTACTCGGTTAGTAATTCATATGTTTTTTGTAAATATTGAAAATCAAAAGCGTATTCTGACTACCATCCGCTGTACATATGTATTGCATTTACATTTAATTTACATGTGACATGTAATTTATTTAATGACGTAATTTAATAAACTACCCCCAATCCTCTAACCTGGACCAA